CTTGATGGTCCTAGGGTCCTGGACTCTAAGATTAACTTCTACTTTTACAGTTGTGATGGTCGCAATTAGCCCTGATAACAATTACTCACTATTGAATCAAATGAATCCTATCCCCATCTCCTTTCACCAGACCCATCTAGATAATATGAAACCATTCAGTGGGGATTCTACCTTCCCCCATACACTCTGAAACTAAATTCCCTCTTGAATGAAAACTTGTAAGCCAGTCATTTCATGCCTTTAACCCCACTCCCCTGCCATCCCCCACCCTGGTTTTAGGTAGTCAGTGTCTAAGACTGTATACAGAGGGGATAGGATTGATACTTAAGCCAGTCACTTTTGAGATATAAAAGAGATTAAGTGAGCAAACAAGCACAAATAGAAGGGAAGGTACATATACACGATTGCCAAGGAACCTGGGAATAGGAGCTGGAAAGACTGACACACAGAGATAGCCTTCTCTTAGAGCCAGGGCCTTAACTTTAGACCCATAGCTTCCTAAACTGTGAGAAAATAAATGTCTGTTTGCTAAAACCACCCTCTTGTGGTATTTCTGTTCTAGGAGCTCTTGATGACTAACAGAATACATGGTAAGCAGTGTTACTGAGGACAAGGCATACATGTGAAGACACCTAGCATTCATTCATTCTCATGCTTATGCAGCACCTGCCCATAGATAGAGTAAGGTATGAGAGGCAAACCTTGTCCTCCAGGAGCTCCCTGTTGAGTTGATGAGACAGAGAAGGGAAAAGCAATAACAATATAATGTATTACAGGAGAAGCTATGAAGCACATACAGATCTCTTTGGCATCACATAGGAGAGGAATATTAAACAAAAGCAGGCTCAATGGAGAACAAAGTTGGCCAAGAGCATCCTCAGAGTCTGCTGCCCTGGTGTGTAGCTGAAGAGCCTTTCTGCCACAGCCACCTGCCAGATCAGGGCTGCAGCTATCTGAAGATGATGAAGGGAGCAAAGCAACCTCAGCAGGTCAAACTTCAGATTAAGGACCCAGTAAGAGTTAAGCACCTTACCTCTCCTCTGCGAATCTGGATGCTCCTTATAATGCGCTCTAAGAGGCCAACCTGTTGAGTGAGCCGCAGACTGTTTTCCTGTAATTGCTTATTTTCTTTATCCAGGAAGAGTACTCTAAGAATGGCACAAATCAAAGGTTTACAAGACATTTCTGTATCACTGATAAAAATTCAAAATTATGGCCCACTTCTCACTATCTCTGGGTCTTAGCCTACTGTCTAGATTTTAGGGCCAAGTTTAGCAGAATAATTCCCACCATGTCCCAAGACCAAGTAAAAATTAATAAGCTTCGGGCCAGTAGAGGGCCATCAAATATCTACTGAGCACAGAAGTATACTATATGCAAAGAAGGTGGTATCTCAGCCTGTGAGAAACTGAAACGTATTCCTTCAAACATTGAAGCTACACAACTAGCATCTGGCTTTCACATCTTCCAGTCATTCTGTACTCTAACAATAGTATTAAGTAGTAGAAGAAGGAAATAGTACAAGTATTGCTAGTACTTCAAGCTTTTCATTCATTAGCTCATTGAATTCTCTACAACAATCTTATAGTGTTGACACTACTGCCCATGTTATAGTAGTAGAAATGGAGGGTGAAAGAAGGGAAAGTAACTTGTTTAAGAACATCAAGTTAGAAAGTGGTAGGCCTAGCATGTCAACCCAAATCTTTCAGACTTCCAAGCCTGAGCTTTTAACCACTGTACCATCACTCTTCAGCTTATTTGAGAGACACGACATTATAACAGTTATTAGCAGAGATTTGTGTTTTGTGTTCTGCTTTTCCACTTATTACCAGCTGTATGGAGTTGTGGGGTGGCACTGTAGAATAAGTACTGGACTGTTAACTGCAAGGTCAGCTGGTGGGTTTGAACAAGGAAATTCTATATATAGGGTTGCTATGAGTTGGGACCAACTCAATGGCACTTAGCAACAACAACAACTAGCTGTGTGACCCTTACTCCATCTGAGCTTTAGTTTCCTCATCTGTAAAATTAGGAAACATCATATAGAAGAAATTCACATTAAGGCAAATATCCAAGTCTAATTCAGGAGGGCCAGACAGGAATATTGTTAATGTTAATTATAGCATTATAATTAACATTATTAATGTTAATTATATTGGCTCTTGAATGTCTGAAAAAAATGCCTGTTTGAAAAGAGCAATAGTTTCTACATTGTTGTTATTGTTAGGTGCCATCGAGTCGGTACTGACTCATAGTGATCCTATGCACAACAGAACGCAACACTGCCCGGTCCTGGGCTAACCTCACACTTGCCATGCTTGAACCCATTGATGCTGCCACTTTGCCAATCCAACTTGCTGGGGGTCTTCCTCTTTTTCTCTGACCCTCCACCTTACCAAACATGATATAC